GCTAAGGAGCCCAAGTGGTCTGTGGGCCCTTCTAATGCTCGTCTCCTCACACCTTGCTGTAAGGAGTAGGAGCAACCCTGCATCTTCCTCTACTACTTCAAAGTTCAAATGCTTTGCTGGGCCAAGTTCACTTACCACAGCAGGAAACCATTACACCTATGCAAATAAGTAGGTACCTCCCCGAGTTTCAAGGAAGGCTGACTTGAGTCATGCATCCAACTAACGACAGTAATGTATGAATTGTGCCTTATCATACTCATTTAGGCTCTCCTTTAGCTTTAGGTCAAGTATTTAAGACCTTAATGTGGGTGAGATGTTCTTAAACCCATCTCATGTCTCACTTAATGGTTCATCCTTCTTTCCCATCCAGACTGGTTTGAACATCAAGTCCTCTCTCCCTGCATCCCTCCACTGGCTCCCCCTCTTCTATTGCAAACTTAAGTTGTTTCAAGGTAAGACTTTCAAGTCTTTCCCCATCCTACCCACTGGCTCTCATTTGCCATTGAGATGTGATCTCTGACTCCAGTCAGCCTATGACAGCAGTGTCCCACAGGCTGACCAATAGGTCTCATTGTTTTCTTGTAGTGTCCCATATCTGTCGTCTCCCGTCTGGGATTTAGACAGTAGGAATAGTCTTTTTGCACTATATTATACAGTGCCTGCACACAGGGGGTCTTGCTCCATGGTAGAGCTCCTACAGGCTGTACAGTAAAACAATGTAATGACAGTAACTGCAGTGACCAGAAAGGCTGGAGTAACAGAGCAGGAGTTGTGTTCATTAGGCAAGACATCTGTAATGTGTTTAAGCAAATGGCCTGGGCCAGGCAAGTTGTTTCACAGTCAGCTGTTCACCGAAAGCCTTTTCCACGTAAACCTCCTGTTTATCTTGACCTGTTAACAAGCATCAAGACAACAGCCTTGTGGAAGAAGGTCCCATTCAGCACTAAGGCAGGGAATCAGCATCTAGCCTGTATCAATTAAAAATCCACACTTTGAAGTCACCAATTAGACAAAAAATGTGTGTTTGTGCGTGTCCATGCATGTGAGTACACACAGGCAGAACTTTAAATACAATTTTATTTCAGGTTTGCTATCGATGCACAAACAGCAGAGACCAATGTACAGTATACATGGTATACACAAAGCAGCCAGTACAATAGGCATTTCCGTCCTTCTGCTATACATTTTGCAAAAGAACCACAGAAAACAAAAAACAAACCCCTGCCCGTCCCCCAGTGAACAATAGCAATGACCATGCTCGGTGGCTTTGGGAACCATCTTTTCATTGGAAAGACACGAAAGGGCAGCCCCTCAGAACAGTACACTCAAATGAAAGCACCATGTAAGATGTACTACACAGAGAAAACAGCAAAAAATGGACTGTATGTAGGACTGGAAGGGACTTGATGGTCCAGCCTCCTGCTACTACAGGCAACCATGACCTCTAATCCCATTTGTAAACAAATCTCCAACACCATCTTAAACCTAGTTAAATTATCTGCCCTTCTTGGCACCTTATACCCCTCTTTGTAGATGGGGAGAAGACTCAGGGAAGGAGTCAACTTCATGTATTACATGCAGGCACTGTCCTGTCTAGTGCCTATTCCAGTCTGTTATAGTACTATTTGGCCATCCAGTGTCCGGCTGCCCTCTGGGATTTTCTTTCCTCTCTCCTGATCCTCCCTCCCTCAACTTAAACATTATCATTCGCCTGGAGAGATCCTTGTCCCCATCTGGAACTAGTAACTGCTCCTCAGATTCATTCTCCCCTGCACAGATACCACTAATGACATATTTCAGTAGAGAAATTATGGGGCTGTTGAAAGCCAATGCTCTCATTGAGGTCACTGTCAATAAACAATGGAAAGAAAAAAGTGAAATAAATGCTTGGGAAAAGAAATTATATGGACCCATTAAAAAAAAGGCACATTAAAGTAAGACCGATAGAACAAGAGGGACTAAAACACTGGGTCACAGTTGGAGTCCCCCGTCCATTTTGCACAGCCTCTGTGCAGGACCATGGACCTACAGCAGTGAGTGGCACTTGAAGAGTCCACTATTCAGCTGGCGTAAATCAGAAGAGCACCATTAAAGTCAGAATAATTAAGTCAGAACTATGCCAGTTCACATCAGCTGAGGCTCCAGCCTACAATACCCTGGGGTTTTTAATCTGAAATCGCAGTACTCTAATTCCTAGATCCCTGTCCTGAAATCTAGCTTTATGGGAAGAACATTGTTAATGCCCAATGAATATAACAGGAATGATCAGAATCCATCAATGACCTGAAAGTGGCATAGAGTGCACCCTCAGCATGTTTGCAGATGACACCAAGTTAGAGGGGAATAGTAGATATGCTGGAAGGTAGGGCTAGGATTCAGAGAGACCTGAACAAATTGAAGGATTAGAGCAAAAGAAATCTCATGAGGTTCGATAAGAACACATGCAAAGTCCTGCACTTGGGTCGGAACAATCCCATGCACTAGGACAGGCTGGGGACCAACTGGCTAAGCAGGAGATCTGCAAAAAAGGACCTGGGGATTACAATGGGCAATAAACTGAAGATAAACCAACTGTGCCCTTGTTGCAAAGAAGACTAACGACATCCTGGGCTGCATTAGTAGGAGCATTGCCAGCAGATAAAGGGAAGCGATTCTTCCCCTCTATTCAGCACTGGTGAGGCCATATCTAGAGTACTGCATCCAGTTTTGGGCCCCCCACTTAATAAAGGATATGGACAAATTGGAGAGAGTCCAGCGGAAGGCAACAAAAATGGTTCAGGAGCTGGGGGACATGACTTCTGAGAAGAGGCTGAGGGAACTGGGCTTGTTTAGTCTGGAGAAGAGAAGACTGAGAGGGGAAGACTAAATAGCAGCCTTCAACTACCTGAAAGGTGGCTCCAAAGAGGATGGAGCTGGACTGTTCTCAGTGGTGGCAGATGACAGAACAAGGAGCAATGGGCTCAAGTTGCAACAAGAGAAGTTTAAGTTAGATAATAGGAAAAACCTCTTGCTAGGAGGGTAGTAAAGCACTGGAACAGGTTACCCAGAGAGGTTGTGGACTCTCCATGCTTAAAGGTTTAAAACCCAACTAGACAAACCCTTGGGTGGGATGATCTAGTTAGGGATGATCCTGCTTTGAGCTCTAAAACAACCTCCTGTGGTCCCTTCCAGCTCTCATTTTCTATGATTCTATGAGTTCCACTGGATTTCCAATTGTTGTGGGATTGTACTTCACTTTGGAAACCTGGGTTTTAAAGCTGGGGCCTCTCTCAGTGAAGGGCATGTCAAAATGCCAGCTTACCACAATGGAACAAAATCATGGCATGAATCTTCTCCCACAAAATGTGGAGAGGCTGCAATTATGTGGCTAGCATCTCATAATGTGGCTGTAAGATCATGTGGCTTGGCCCAGCTTCCCACGGCAGCTGGAACCATCTGGATAGCGTAGGGTTTGTGGGGACTGGAGAATGCCCCACTGGCAAAACTCTGCTAGAACGTCCAAATACTAGGGCTGTGCGAAGCTTTGGGTGGTGATTCGATTTGGAGGAGATTTGACCCAATTTGGTGGCCGAATCTCCAAATGCAAATTGAATCAGCAAACCAATTAAAAGGTCCGGATCTTCGGAAAAGATTTGGAGAGCTTTGATGATTCAGGTAGTCCCCGGTGGCTGCAGCAGGGAGCTGCAGCTGACTCTAAGCTAGTAAGTACTGCGGCAGGGGAGGGGACCATGGGGGGACCCCTGCCAGCCCCCCCGACCCTGCCCACTCCACCAGCCCCCCCATGGCTGCCCCTGCCCGCCCCAGTTTCCTGCGTTTTTAAAAAGAAAGTCCCAGTGCTCACCAGGTGCTGCTGGGCGGGGGGTGATCCCCACTGCCTCATGCTGCATGGGGAGGCTCTGAACAAGCCCCCTGATGCTCCCCCCCCTTTGCTCCCCCAGCCCTTCCAAGGCCAGCTCTGGCCCTTTAAGAAAAAAGCCCTGAGAAAAGCCCCAGGACAGCAGCAGCCAAATCTCCAAATCAGGTTCGGCCGAATTGAATCGCTGTCCACCGAATCAGCCAAATCTGAAGCAAATACTAGCCACTTTGCACAGGCCTACCATACTGTACGCAGATGCTCAGAGGAGCATTTTGACAGGCAAAACAGGCTTTAGGCAAAAGTAAGATGTAGGCACTGTTTTAAGGTGGCCAAGCTTGGAATCTGGCCTCTTAATGGAAAGTTCATTCCAGAATCATGTTATATGAAAATGTAGTCAATGGGCTGAATGAAAAAGAGGCACTGGAGTAAGAAAGGTGATGATGGGGCCATGCGGTGTTAGTCTAGAGGCCAGGCAGTGAGCCACCAAGCAACAACTGGGTACAGATTACTAATGTTGTGCACAGCCTGGGAGCTCCATAAGCAGCAGTCACCTTTAGAAGAAGGTGGAAGGCACTTGGGGCCAGACTTTCCAAGACATCCAGGGACCTGAAGAGGCAGAGAGGTGTTTGGGAAATTGCCAGCAGGCACCCTTCTGCATCCCGAGGTGCCCAAATGATCCTAAAAACCTGGCCTTTGGTCTTCATTTCAATGCCCGAGTTGCAATCAAACAGCATGCTTCTCTGGGACCTTTCACCAGAGGTCTGCAAAGTGCTTTGCAAGGAGGAGGAAGCATCCCTGATCCCTGTGCTTGTTTAACGGTAGGACACTAAGGCACGAAGGCCCCAATGCACAAAGTATTTGGCTGACATAGCACCTGCGAGGAGTCTCATTAAAGCCACTAGGACCATCTACAGACAGAACCACAGCCAGTTAGGGGAGAAGACTTGCCCATGAGATAGACCACTCTGCAGCCCCCTCTTCTAGACAAGCAGCCTTCCTTGGTCCCTCTCTCCTCATCGCCCCAGTAAACACCAAGAGCCTGGTTACCCCGTTACACTAAAGCAGCCCAAAGGTGGATGGAGACAAGTCACAGCCATTTCTGTTACATTTCTGCTCATAACACCTCTAGGTGTGTATAGATATATTTTTTTTTTTAATTTTTTTTTTTAAACCCTGAAAAAAAAAAAAAAAAAAAAATTCTAGCGGAAGAGGGTGGGGGCTAGTCCTGGGCACCACATGGCATGGAGCACCACTGTGAAAACTGACTCAGCATCTGCCAGTCCTAGTAGTTATGTGCCATTGGCAGTGCTGCCAATTCTCAGGTGAGGAAGTGCTATGGAGGGGCACAACAGTACGACTGAGCACTGCCTCCTGGAACCAAGGCCTGATTCTCATCTACACAGAGATCCATTTGAGCTGCCCTTGCAGCAGAACAGGACCTTGCCAATTCAATTCATGCCCATTTACAAGACCAGAGTGTAAATGAGCATGGGGCCAGAAGAGGTTTTTGGTGGGGTTTTTTTTGTTTTTTTTTTTTTTTTAATTCATGCCTGTTCTATATTGAAGATTCATCACCCCCAACACACCCTTCCTGAAGCACCATAGAAAGTCATAGTCTTAGAAAAGGAGTCAATGGAAATGACAAAACTGCCTCAGTTACACATGGTTCGCACCAACTGAGAGGAAGGAGAGTAAGAATACGGAGTTAAGCACCATAAAAATCTACATTGTTCGATCCATAAACATGAAAATAAAAAAGGACTTGCAGCCCTGCATGAAAACATCACTGCAAGTGTCTGGAGGGCAGCAGCATGTCCAGGCTGCAGTCACTGCTAGCAAGCCCTGAAGGCATCGATTCATGAGACACCCCAGTGTGTCACTGCACTGGTCATTAAGCGCTATCATTTGTCAGCATTGCAATGGTAATTCCACTTGGTCCTGTCTAGTACTAGTGCTCTGGGAGTTGGGGGGTAGGGGCGACCCTGGGAAGAGCAGAGGGAGGTTGGGCCATGGCAATATAAGAACACCCTCTGTTGTCCTTGGTTCAGTCCCAGGCAGCATCCCTGGAGACTTGCCCTGCCTTTCATCCTTTCTCCTCGTGCCTACAGCATCTGGTGGATGGTGGTGGAGTCTGGGTAGTCTGCCAGCTTCGAGGTAGATGTTTATCCTACTCCATCTCCGAGCGACCTGTTCCACAAAACCACGCTGAGCCCCTCTCGCTCATGCGTGCTCTCTCCCCACATACAAATCCTTTGTCTGTTGGTATGTGCTATGTAGCAGACCCCTCACCTCAGATGGCTCCCCCTCTCCCTTCCCCCAGCTGCTGTTCAACCTTCAGCCACGGATCTCCAGCTAGAGAGACACCATGCCTCCTTTGGAAGTGCCACCAGCCTGGTCAGCAGGGCCTCAGGGTACAGAAGTCTAGCTCCTGAGGTTTCTTCCTGAGATTGCAGCGATCCCGAGGCAACAGCTGCCCTGCCTGGGCTGTGCACTTCAACATGCGCCTCTTGAAGCCTCTGCCACAGGTTTTGGAGCAAGGGGACCAAGGACCTGCCTCCCACGTGGGGCAGGGGTCTCCGCATATCCTGACGTCAACAGGCCGCTGGGTGGCATCACACTCAGAGGCCAGGTGGCCGTAGGAGTCACGGCAGTCCACAGCGCGCTTCTGCAGCCCATTGCCACAGGTGACGGAACAGGCCTCCCAGCCTCCAGCTGCCCACTTGTAGGATGGGCGTTTGTAACTCGGCCTGCCCATGTCCAGGCGGTTGGATAGGCTTAGGACACTGTTGGTGAGGTCAGGCAGGCTCTTCCCATCACTCTTGTATGAGGACTTGTCATCTTTTCTCTCCTTGGGCAGGTAGAAGGAATAACGCACCCGGGGGGGAGTCATTTTCCCAACTGACAGCACCTCCACAGTCAGAGGCTCCTGGATAGGCTTAAAGGACTGAAGGCTTTCCACTGCCGTGCCTGTCCCGCTGTACCGTAGCACACTGCCCTTCACCATCAGGTCCCTCTCCACAGCCGAGACAATGAAGTGCCCATTGAGCAGATACTTGCCTTGCCCGTTCTTCACAGCTAGGTAGTTATCATCATTAATCAGTCCCTTGTAGCCTCGCTGCCTGATGTCAATGCTGGAGGCTCCTGCTGGGATGACCACCACAAAGTTGTAGCCGTGCCTGTAAGACAAAGAAAGAGGGTGTTAGCACCACACCGGTACTGCTGGGAATAGTTATTTGTTCATCAAGGGGATGAAGCTCCAGACCAAATGCAGACTGAGCTGCTCCCCACAGCTCCATTAGAAAGCTACAGTAAAACCTTCCAGCTTCTCCCCACAGGGTCTGAGTATGGTGCAGGGACGTGCAAGCGATAGGGTGACTACTCCCACATCAGTCCGAGTCATCCAGCATCTTCATTTGAGGTTCAATGCTGACAAGATTCTGCAGTGTAGACAGGTCTCACCCTCACCACAAAAGACTAGATTTAAGTCAGCTAGACTAGACCTTGGATCTAAAGACCCAGCACCCATCACTAGCACTAACGGTTGCTTATGCACGAGAGGCAAATGGTCCCTCCCTTTCATGAGGCCTACATTTTCTGAAATGCATGTTAAAAGACAAGCCTGGGGGTTGGGGAAGCAGGACTATCAGACACTCACATGGGCTTTGTGAACAACCCTGAAACCTTCTTGCAGCTTTTGTTGTCTCCTCCACACACGCTGCATTTGTCAAACTTCTTCTTGGAGCCCAGCTTCCCATCACATCCCGCTTTGATGCATTTGCCCTGGACGCAGACAGAGGTGGAGTCGGGTGCACATGGGGTCCCATCTACTACCTGCAGGTCACCAAGGGGGAGAGGAGGTCTTAGCAGTCAAGGCATTTGGTTCCCAGGTACATAAGAGTGCCCCACATCCCACCTGTGCATGTACCACCAGCATCCAAGGAGGAACCTTTGGGTGCTAGGGTACACCCATCCCAGAGCTGCTCCAAGTTATGCCTGCCTCTAGATCAACCTGGTATGGAGAAGGCATTAATAGGCATAAAGCCACCTGTGTCCTCACCCCATGTTGGGGCTGTATTGGCACCTGCTCAGAGGCACAACCCAGAATCATGACTTTTATACCACATCTATGAACAACTTCTCTCCCTACCTAATCAGCAATCCTGACACTTGGACACTGCAAATGAACAGGTTGAGAGCGCCAATTGACCCTTTGGTGGTGTCCCTGCATTCCCCATCCCAGTTCAGACAGACAGCCCAGTGCTGTGCGTGTGAGCTTGAGCTCCCATGAAAAGCTGCCTCCTTGCCTTTTGCTCTTGCTCTGGTGCCCTAGGTGTGCAATCTCACATGCTTTGCAAACCTGGGCCAGAGCCAAAGCTGGTCTAAATTGGCAGTTCCACCAAATTCAGCACAGCTCCAGCATAGACTCTGGCTTGCAACCCCTCAGTGCCTCGCAGTAGTGCCATTTCCCCAGATTAACTGTCTGTTCATTCTTGAATCCCAGTAGCACAGAGCGGTGCCTGTGGCCTCCAAGGGAGAACATCCCAAAGGCCAGTTACCCAATTACTCCATCTAAGTATAAAGCCTTCCTGTGAAGGCTTCACAGTAATACTCGTGTTCTCCTTACTCGTTAACAGAGTTAACTATCAGTCTCCTTACACAGTCATTTACAGCAGCCTCCTGTTTCCCTTCCCTCAAGCCCAATGGCTCATACAGTTGCTCTCCCCCTCCTCACCTTAGGAGCCAACACATAGAAGTAACCTGTGCCGTTAGCCCTGCATATGAGCTTGCATTTGTCTCGAGGCGAAACTCCTGAGTACTTAGGGACCCACGAGACGGAGGCAGTGAGCCGGTTGGTGCTGTGGCTGTAGCCATTGAAGGCCTCGCACTGTTCCTCTCGGAAACTCTTTCCTGGCACTGGAAGGAAATAAAGCACATGTGGAAATGCCACCAGGAAGGGCATCCTCAGCTGGAATGCATCTGCCTGGCAGGGCCCAGGCCTGGGATCTGAGCATGGAGGGGCAGGGGCAGAGTGTCCTATCCCTTGCTCTGATTTTATTTCAGTTCTGTTCCACTGACTTCAGAAGAGTCACTCCTGATGTACATGGCTGTAAATGGGATGAAAAAATCTGACCTTGAATGTACGAATGACCTGACCCAGCTAGATTATTCAGAATTGCAGGGGGTTGCCTCTCTACCTGTCTGAGGTTGCCAACATAAATGAAATCTTTTGAGCAGCAATTCATGAGATATGACTTGTCTTTCCACTTTTAGCAGACTCAGAGAACAAGTCAGATTATTTGGATATTCTGGACACTAGCAAAATATATGCACTACAAGGGAGATTGGTTTCCAGGGGAAGGATAATGATGGTACAGGACTGCTAATGGGAGAAACACAAGCTACATTCATAGCCAAGACAGCATCAGCTGCAATGATAACATCAGCATTTGCTGAAAACATCTGGGATTCACAGGAGAGTACATGTCAGAGAAAGGAATTAGAAGGCATCTATTGCCAATCACCCAATAGAGAAGGGTATTAGAAGAAGTGCAGAGAGCCTGGCCAGGAGTGGGCAGAGAAAGAGTTAACTGGTCTCCTTAAGCAAAGGAAACAACACAGCTGCATACCTTCAGTGTGGAGATTGTGTTTGGGATCCCATCCACAAAGCCAGGTTGGGACCAGCTGTAGCAAATTAGACAATTCCCCCCAGCACACCATAAGAGGCATGTGCAGAGACAGCTGAGCTAGCTGGCACGGGGAGGTGGAGGAAGTGCTCACTGAACATGCCTTTCCATATGGACCTGCACGCAAGCTGCACACATCAGGCCTCAGAGTTTCTCTCACTTGAGAGCCAGGCCCTTGCTGTCTCCCTGTACAATTCCAGGAGGAGACCACACTCAGCCAGGCCTCATTCGCCTTCCCTGCCACATATGCGAACACTAGCCACACAAGGTGTCCCCACATGCAGGGATGTGCACTTGCAGCAGCAAAAATAGTGGCACAAATTTGTGCCTCTACTTTTTGCCACAGTGCATGCCCCTGCATGTGCACCTTGGTGTGGGGCAAACTGCCCCACTTCAGAGAAACTGCCCTTTCCTCATTGCTCCCAGCATGCTAGAGGAGCTGGGTGACAACTAAAGGAGGAGTGAAAATGCTTTGGCTGGCAGCCAGAGCATAGATTCATAGATGTTGGGGTCGGAAGGGACCTCGATAGATCATCGAGTCCGACCCCCTGCATAGGCAGGAAAGAGGGCTGGGTCTAGATGACCCCAGCTAGATGCATATCCAACCTCCCCTTGAAGACCCCCAGGGTAGGGGAGAGCACCACCTCCCTTGGGAGCCCGTTCCAGACCTTGGCCGCTCGAACTGTGAAGAAGTTCTTCCTAATGTCCAATCTAAATATCTCCCTGGAGAACTAAGTCTCCCAGTCTGCTAGCACATGCTCTTCTTGTGTGCATGCACCATGCTGTTTTCTCCCCATGGTGGGTTTTGTTGGGGGGGGGGGGGGAGGGTTGTTCTGTTTTGTTTTTTGTAGCAGGATTTCCTGGTAGCAAAATTTTCCCCTAGTGCAAAGCACATAAGAAGTTCTTCCTAATGTCCAATCTAAATATCTCCCTGGAGAACTAAGTCTCCCAGTCTGCTAGCACATGCTCTTCTTGTGTGCATGCACCATGCTGTTTTCTCCCCATGGCATTTTAACATTCTGGGTGTGCAGCTTGTGGCACCAGAAAAAGAGGTTTGCAGCACCACAAACTGCACATGCCTGCAGGTCTGGATGTGGCCACAACGTCCACTTCCCCATGCTGCCTTCCACCTGCTAGGGAAAGGATGCTTATGCACAGAAAGGAGGTGTTCAGGCACTGCTAGTACCCATCACCCATCAGCATAATATCTGATCTTCCTCCAAGGAAAGTCAAGAGCAAAGCCCATGGCAAATTTGGTGGCGTGTCTGGCACTTCTCCCTGTTTGGGACAGGGCTTCTACTTTGGCGGAGGCGGGGAGATGGGAAGGAAGGGGTGGAGAGTTCAAATTGTCATTGTTGCCTGTGCAGGAAAGACGTGCTCCAGGTTTGAGCGCTGTGCAGTCACACCTTGGCAGAATGTGACCTCTTGTATCAGGTTGGTAGTGCCGGGTTTTCTGCTGGTGACAACTCTCTAATCCAGGGGCAGGCAATTATTTCGGGCGGAGGGCCACTTATTGAGTTTTGGCAAGCCATTGAGGGCTGCATGACAGGCAGCCAGGGACAGATAAATATTAATTTTCTAAAATTTTTTGGAGCCCTGCGGACCGGATAGAATTAAGGCTGTGTGAGGCTTCAGACAGAGCTTTGGATCCAGAGAAGCTTCGGACACTTCGGGGTCCGAAGTAGCACGTCCGGGTCGCAGCGCTGCCTCATTCAGCTTCCTGAAGTGCTTTGGAGCCACCTTGGAGATCCGGCCATAGGGTATAATGGGGAAACAATATCTATAACTTCATTGTTTTTTGTCTTATTTGGATGAAATTCAGGGGTGGTAGACTCTGCAGAGAGGATGAAGCCTGCCAAGTTTCAAGAAGATTGGTGCAGGGGTTTGGGGGAACTGCACCACAAATTCTTGAAAGCAAAACTCCTGTCACGTCTAGCCGTTACAGGGTCAAGACTGCAAGGCTGGGAGCTCTTGCTGAGGCCACGAACCCAGGGGTTTGGGGGGGAACTGCCCCTCAAGCTGGGGACAAGCAAAACTGATGCCATGGGTGACACTGCGTGTGTTAAGGCACAGCGGGGTGACACTGCAGGGATGATGGCCCCTGCTGCAGCCATGATGCCTGCCAGCTGTGGAGGAGATTGGTGCAGGGGGGGTCTGGGGCCCTGCACCCCTAGCTACTGACAGACAAAATTGGTGCCAAGGGTGCTGTGGGACTGACTGTCTGTCTTGGGGCCGGAGGGGAGACGCTGCTGCAGGCCTGGCTGCTGAGCTGCTGTGTTACCAGTTACCAGCTGTTGCCATGGGTGCTGTGGTACTGCCTGTGTCTGTCTTGGGGTGGGAGGGGAGACGCTGCTGCAGGCCTGGCTGCTGAGCTGCTGTGTTACCAGTTACCAGCCAATCAATCATGATTCACTCAGGGACCAGCTCAATACACAGGACCTAGCTAATGCAGCCAGTTAATTGCCCTCAATTAGCACCTACAAAACCAGGCTAAGGAGAGGAAAGAATCAAGACAGACAATCAACTGCCCCAGGACAGAGACAGTCTTGGCACGAGTTTTGCCTGTCAGCAGCTAGGGTTGCAGGGCCCCAGGACCCCCCTGCACCCATGTCCTCCACAGCTGGCAGGCGTCACAGCAGGGGCCACCATCCCTGCAGCTGTCACCCCGCTGCGCCTTAACACACGCAGTGTCACCCATGGCACCAGTTTTGCTTCTCCGAAGCTTGAGGTGCAGTTCCCCCCAAACTGATCTCGTTGAAACTTGGCAGGTTTCATGCTCTCAGCAGAGGCTACCAATCCTGCAAATTTCATCCAAATCAGATAAAAAACAACCAAGTTATAGATATTTAATTGATTCCCCCATTATACCCTATGGCCAGATCTCCGAGGCAGCTTCGGAGTCGCTTCAGCCAGATCAAGGCAGAAACCCAGTCCCGAGCTCAGGATCGGATCACGGCCATCCAAAGCGGCCGGATTGGATCGCTGTTGACTCACACAGGCCTAGATTCAATGGCCTGGCGGGCCACATTTTGCCCGCCCCTGCTCTAATCTCTTTCTGCTTTAACTAAGTGAGTCTGATTTACGTCAACTAAGTATGTGGTGTAAGATGCTGCACTAATGCCCAGGGGTAAATGAGCGCACACGGGCTGCAGAGCAAAGGAAACAGGACCTCCGTCTAACTAAAATGTCTGTAAACCTTGCAAGAGGTAGCAGCTGTGGAGGTGGCATTAGGTAGCTGGTTGTGTGAAATGGTGATGATTTCTTTTTTGCTGAAAAAACATGGTTTCTTTCCCTCAGCTTAAAGTGTTTGAAATATTCCAAGAATTTAAAGTGCTGATCATTTTGGGGGGGGACATTTTCCATATTATTGACATCCTACACTCAGCTCTGCTGTGCACAGGGAAAAAAAAATAACCACAGACTCTCAGTCTGAGCTTTATTCCTCAGTGATGTAACCACTCCCTGATAGACCAGGGGGAGTTAGGCTGGAGGGGATGTAGGGATGAGCACACTACTAGTTCAGGTGGGTGGACTGATGCAGATAAAATAATACACCAGTTAACTCCATATCTAACAATTCAAGCCACCTGTTTGCAGATACAGTCATTTTCCTGCTCTAGCCCCATCAACCAGTTTTCACAAGCCAGGACAGAAGTGCCATAAGACTGAGGATTTCTATGCAATTTCCATCCCAGAAGAACTGGGAAGATTGAGATTTCATTATTTGAGTGCTTGAACTGTGCCCCTCCATCTCCCTGAGCTGCACTGCACCACACCATGGATGCAATGGAGAATCCACTGCCAAGAGGCTGTTCCAGGAGCAGGTTGCTGCTTGTTTTCTTTACCTGTGCTATTTAAAGGCCCTTTCAATTCACCAACAATCCTAATATCAACCAGTTCCAGAACAGGTTCTTCCCCTCCCAGCGGGAAGCCTCACCTGAATCGGAGCATGGATCTAGGTTGCAGGACCGGTACTTGACACGGATGCCCTCACAGTACTTCCCTCCATTGGCAGGCACTGGATTGTTGCATTCGCGCTTGGCCAGCTGGACTCCTCCGCCACAGGTCCGCGAGCACTGGCCGTAGGGTGCCCACTTCCCCCAGTTGCCATCCACCTGCCAGGAAATGGGATGTTAAGAGGAAAGCCCCTTTACCCTGCAGCAATATCAAAACCAGCACGTTGTGCCATATCTGGGCTCTCAGCAGAGTGGACCAGACTCAGCAGGAGAGATCCATGACATACCCAAGATTGACCAGAGAGTCTTTCCCTGGGGGAAATATTCTATCCTCTCTAGCTGTCACACCCAACAATAGTCATTCAGAAGAAACGCCTACTGGGCACCAGCAACAGCAGCAAAATGGCATTAAGAGTAAGCCCTGTTCTCAAACAGAAGTGCAGTCAGTAGAAGTCCCATCCCTGCAGCACACGAGCAGCAGCTAGGATCTGACACCCTTGGCAAAAGCTTGTCATTTAATTCCCTTCCTTCTCCACCCCAATTGCTTTTCATACAGCAACAGCCAGGGACACAAATGACCTCAGGGGTTACTAATGCAAAGTAGGGCCCTTCTGTTCTCTATCACTGGCTCTTGAGAATGCTTGGAAGTGGCGAGCAACTTGGTGGCCTGAAGAGTTTGTGCCTCTTTAAGGTCAAACCACAAACACCATAATGAGCATCTCAGCCTGGGCAATGAGGCAACTGAGCCTACAAGTGATCCCTCCAAGACCAGGGTGCCCCTTGCAGGGAGACTATAGTTATCCAATGTGGAGGATGACTGCTGCATAGCAGAGCTTTCTAGGGAAACCATCACTTTCCATGGGTTACAGGATGATGAAAATCAGCACTCTTGGGCCTGGTGCCACATGGTGCAATTGGAAAACGTCTCCCTGGGGCTGAGCAAGCTACTGCAATCAGAGAGGGTAGGTGCCATACCCAGCCTCACTATCTGGCAGGTTCTTTTCCACCACATCTGCAGTGAGCTCTGGGAAACCAGCTTGCATCTGGGTTCAGTGCACATAGGTCTACAAGCTCCATATTGCACTCGTCAGCCCAAGCTGCAGCCTTCATGTGACTTGCCTTGGCCTCCCCACTGACACCCCCCAGCACAGAGCAGGCCGGTACTCACCCTGTACTTACTGATGTTATGCCTCTCGACGCAGGCTCCCTTCATGCAGAACCTTCCCTCTCCACAGCTGGTGCCGTCAGCCCAGGGGAAGTGGCGTGTCTGACAGACAATCTGTCCCCGAGCTTTTCCCGTGCACCACAGCTTGGTGCAATACTGCATGTAGGGGCAAGGCTTGGAGCCGATGCCAAAGGCCAGCTCACACTGCTGGTTGAGGGTGTAGCTGGCCCCAGGGAGGTCCTCTGGCAGAGGGATGGGCTTGGTGGGTTGGTCCAGCAAGCAATCCCCTGTGGGGCAGTGAAAGAAGAGAAATGCTCAGTGAGATACAATCAGAATGACCATCGCATCCATCTTCTTGTAGGAGAAAAACAAACAAACAGTCACAGCTGGTAAATAGAGAGCCACATCACACTGCAGAACCCATGGACCTCAATGCTGCAAGAAGCTGGCAAGCAAAGCTGTGGCTGGATTGACTGATTTATTCATATCTGAGCAGGAGCCATGAGATTTTTTTTTTTGTCTAATCAACTTTATCTGTAGTTTTCACAACTTCCAGCCACCTCCCACTGGGACAAGTGTTCACTGTGCAAACAGCTCCAGTACAACGGGAACTGCCAAGTAACACCAGGAGACCAACCAGGGCATTTTGGGACAGGGGGCTCCAACAGTACAAGCAGTGAGGCCTTATAGGTCTGCTTTAAATCAGGTCCAAGGCAAGTAAAGAGTTACCAAAAAAAAAACAAAAAAACACCACAAACAAACCAGCATTGTGGAGCTAGACAAGGTCCAAGTTGATCTAGTCTCAGGTGCTATGTGGTCCCTTGAAAGTGATAACTTCTGGCAGCCTTCAAGCCCTGTATGGCTCCAGAGTTTAAGTGATTTGTTGCTGCCTAAAAGTAAACTGTTTAGAAAGGGAGAACTGCTGAAGTCTGTGGAGCCAAGGGCTGTCCCAACTCAGCTCTCCGATGGCTTCAAGCCCGCAGACATCTGGTGTAAGGATTACAGATGCCCCCTCTGACCTCAGCCCCGCCTTCCTCCTCACATCCACACCCTCATGGGAGGATCACAGCTCTACCTGCTCTCGCCCTTCATATCCAGAGTGGCCAAGTTGCAAGGCCAGGGCATTTGCTACGGGTGGTGTCAATGAAGGATAAACAGAAATGGTCACTCAGAGCTGGGAGAAGGCAGGATGAGAGCAGGAACTTCAGCAGCACAGCACAGAGGAAAGAGGAACTCACTCAATAACAAGCATGGATCCCATTTCAGGGGCCGCTACTGGCTCCAATGACTGACCTCCGCACCCACGCTCTCCTCCAAATGCCCCTCAGTGAGGGTGCACAGAGGCAAGGCAAGGCTGGGATTCATCTCAGAGCATTCAGTCTCTGCCTTTCCTCAGCCATGCACCCACAAAGCACAACTGACAGCACTCCTCATGGGAGGGCCCTCTACCCAGCATCCTACTGTCCCTCACATCAGGCAGGGACTTGGACCAGGGGCCTGCAGCAGGTTTCTGTGCCTACAAAAAAAAAAAAAAAATAGATATAGATATATCTATCTCAAAGAATCATAGGAAGTTAGGGTTGGAAGGGACCTCAGGAGGTCATCTGGTCCAACCCCTTGCTCAAAGCAGGACCAGCCCCAA